TGTTAAATTTTTAGGTAGGAACTACGGAATTGATTTTTTGACTATTGTATATTTTAACATTTAGTTCTACATTTAGTTCACTTTGGTGTATTTTTAATAAAAGCAACACTTTTTGGTAATATTTTATTAAATTTACAAAATTTTACTTAAAAGACAGTTTTCGTATAATCCTGAATGAGTCTCAAAAACTATTATCCTCAAGGTAAAAGTGTGCTTTATGTGAATGAAGCTACTCCATTTCTGTATAAAATTTTTACATAATTTTAGTGTTTTTGATATAATTTTGTACCTTTATTACCTGTTATATAGAAATTCTTATATCGTCAATTGGATATGCATAGCAAACTATGTAAAACCAATAAATAAAAATAGTAAACTATATATAACAATAAGGAAGAGACACTAACAAAGTAATAATAATTTAAAAATAATAATAATAAACAATAATATAATGACAAAGAAATAATAATTAAATAAAAATACAAAAAATAATAATAAAGGTATAAAGTATAAATACTAAACTAAGAATAGTAATAAATTAATAAACATTCTACTATACATTTTTCAAGTCATTATATGAAAGTATAGTGTATTCTAACATTTCACTTTAATTCTCCAGAGGTGATAAAAGAATAAAACCCTTTCTTAGAAATTTTTGAATCATTTATTTCCTTAATGTTCTCTTTTTTTGAATGTGGTAAATCATTATTAATACTAACTTAGCAGATACGATTCATTGCCATTTGCTTTACGAAATCTGTATTTACCATTTGCCTTTGTAATAATAATTAGATATATCTTTGAACTTGTCAAATATTGTTATTGTAACGAACGAATTTTTAAAGTAATTTCCAGATGCTACTTCTATTTTGTTGCTCGTATATAATTACAAAATTGGTTTAAAATTCTGCAGTAAATAGAGTCTAGATTCGAATAACATGAAATATGCATGGTGTGGTTTGGAACAGACGAGGAAAGGGAAGGAAGTGAGAAGCGGAAATCAGCTTTCTAAAATAACGGAAACAGGATAGCAGGAAATATTAACTGAATTCATCAAACAATTATTCAGCCATATCTCCAGAATAATTACCATCGTCGTGATAGTAAAGGCAGGACACTCAAAGCATTGGTTATTTCACTGTTAAATCGAAGCCAATCATCCCGAATATTTTTATGAATTAATTATTAATTCTTTCAGTTATTTCCAAAGAAATAAATATTTGTAAAGAAATAACATCGGAATTCAAATTATCGACTTATGAATGAAATTGAACGAAAGTAAATCTAAATCATTCTAGATTTACGTATTAACTAGGATAGTAATACAGAATGCCTAATTATAGCAAAAAAAAAATAAACATGGACAAAAACGAATAAGTCACTTGGATTAGGTTAATAAAATATGTTATTTAATGATATACATATGTTGAACAATAAAGAAATATTATTTGCCTTATTCAGCATTTAATTTAGCTACTAATAGAAAACAGCACAAGTATGATGATTGTTTTTAGTTAACAGCATACCCAGTTTTTGTTTTATTTACTTGTATTTATTATGCAAAATAATTTTGAATGTTTCTAAGAAATTTGATTTAAGTTTCTTATAATAATTCAATATAATTCATATAATTCAATAATAACTTCAAAATAATTATTTAAAATAGACGTATCGAGAAATATTATAAAACACAAAAATTAATTTTTATGAACTAATGTCACCAAATTAGTCTTCCTAAATATCTCATGGGGCTGAATATAATTTTGCAAGCGAAATAATAAGAAAGCAAATTGCAATATGGCGAATAGTTCAAACAAAAGAAATATAAATTTACTAATTTGTAGCGAGGGAAATATAGCTATGATTCCTGGAGGTGAATATAAAGAATAAAGTGGAATATTAACATAATTTTGAGTATCAATACGAAAGAAAGTATAGGAAGCAAATTTAAAAAACTTATTGCGAATTTAAATTTAAATTTATAAAATTTCGAGCTTGATACTGCAAATTTTATTTTTGAACCAATCGTTATCACATTTAACATGGCTTAAATGTATTCTGGTATTGTTACGATGGGAAACCTTATTAAAATTTATCGTATTGTTAATAGAAGTAGGTATATTGTACTTTAAGGTTTCAATGAAGGAGCTTCAGTTAACAATAACGATCGATGGAGTTTAACAGAAGTAACTGCATTTTACCAACAGAGTTATATTTGAATTGTATAGTGCTTTTGTGGAACAATATAACACTTGGTAAACTTTTTCGTGCTTGATTTGTAAAAGCTCACAACACGTTTTCCATCTTCTGTCAAATTGGCACCGTGCGTGTAAGATATAAAGGATGGCGAATAGGATTAATATCTCATGGAACATTTTTCTGATAAATTTTTATTTCCTCTTCATTCTAACGTTCTCTTTTAAGTTTCGCTGGAATTATTTCAATGTACACAGAACAACCTGGTTCTTGTAATTTTACAATTGATTTAATCGTTATCAGGTAGTATCCCAAGTTTTCCACTGCATGTACACGTATCTTTACGAAAGTTACCGAGGGTTCGAAGGCCAGGTCAGTCGGAAAAACCCAGGGCAATACGTCAGGCCCTTAGTACGACCATATTTGGTCATATTGGGAGAGGCATTAGAAAACGCGTACAGGGTGTGCATGGTGAGAAGAAGAATCTGAAAGGGCAAGGACGTTCTGAGTGAGGGGGTTGTTGTCGAAGTTAGTTGAGAGGAATTGTCGAAAGAGTTGTCAATAGAGTTGTTATCGAGTTGAGAGTTGTCGATTAGAGAGTTGCTAAGTCAGTGGAGAGTTGTCGAGTTGAGAGTTGTCGAAGTTAGTTGCCAGAGTTGTTCTTGTTGCTAATAATTGTGAGTTGCTAACAATTGTGAGTTGTAATGGGAGAATTGCTGCAGAAGTGTGGGTTGAGCGTTGTGATAAGTCGTAATAATTCGTATCTTTATCGTTACTCACATACCCTATCACTGTTAATTTATTATTAAATAAATATATATACCATTAATAAATCGTCGCTACAATCATTATTAATTTAACATTTCCAATATTTTAATAATTTAAATTTGTATTCCATTTTTCCATTTTCCATTTAAATGTATGAGGAGCGAAGCTGAGAAGTAAATTTTTTGAAAGGTCAATCATTGTACAGCAGCATGATGAATTAATTAAATTTACCTTTAAAGTCTGTAGAACATATTGCAAGCATACTAAAGCTCCCTTAATGTATGTTTTCGGATGAAATATATTTTAACAAATTTTTCAAATTTAAATTGATACGTGAATGTGATCAAGGGATAATCACTTTTCTTAGAAACAAAGCTTTGAACAAAATAGCTCATGTTGTTCTTTCCGAACGGTATTATTACTAAAAATTCGTTATAAATTGTTAACTAAGTTTTAATAAAATTATTCATTTTATTACGAATTCACAAAATTAAAACTTCTTGAAATATTGAAATGGCATCGTCATTGAACAATTGTTAGCAAAATTTAGTATCTTAATTCTTAAATATTTTGCATAGCCATATTTAATATATTAAAATTAATTTGTATTTTTACATCAACACAATACAAGTTTTTCTTTTAATAATTTTAGATATATTTCGTTTATTTTTTTACAATATGACGCTGCTGTAACTATTATTTTTTACTTTACTTTTATTATTATTTTTACATCATTATTAACTTATTTTTATTTTTACTTTATTATTATGTTGTTATTATTATTTTATTACTGTCTTGATTTTTCTATTACACTTATTACTTTTTGCTTCATTTCTATCATAATTTTTGCGTTATTATTAATTTAGGATCGTATTGGGGCTAGAATAATATTGCAATACTTAACAGAACAAACATAAGCTTTATTAATAGGATTAATGTAATACAATAGTGTAGAGATTGAACGGAATAATATAAAAATGTGAGAATGACAATAAAGTTACGAACTATTTCTCGGCTTACTGCAACGCTCGATAGAGTATCATAATATTACAACTCCATTCGACTTGGACTCTTGACCTGACAACTCAACTCAACGACAATTGCCTTCGACTTCAACTCAATATTAACTGTCCTCTAATCGGTCCTGGCTTACTTTATCTTTCTTACGCTTCATGCACATGCTTTTCAATGTTTCAATTAAAGAATCACGAGTACGAGGTAAATACCAAGCTACAAATCGAACGTGCTAGTGGAAGAGTTCAAAAAGAGGGAAACGGGCCAGAAGCTCCCGTGGGTGTGTTCGCATCGTCGACCAAACAATGAGACGAATCCTAAAGGAGTTCACTTTGAATATCGTTGATACCATGGGTGATATCACCCTTCTATCAAGATTTTCGAGTAGAATAGAAGGGGTCTTGGTTGTTCGTAATATGTTTTTTGTGAAAACCACTTAAGCCTGCGGTTTATTTGTGCTTCTTCCGTATCCCAGATATTGACTTCCTCTTGCAGGGACAGCCAGGCAATTTCTTTCGAGGTATCGAGACAAATGTAGCATACGCGAGATGTATTGCGATGGTTTTATCTTGTTAATCTTGTACATTATTCATCCTTATTCGTTGTTATTTAACACTATGACGGCCAGTTAATCTTCAGAATGTCTGTTTGTATTGAAGAATTTAAAAAATATTATTCTTATTATTTAGAATAATAAAAAAATATTAGTATGCACACGATAAGATAAATAAATAAATACAGAAGGAAAATGAGTAAATATATATATA